TAGTTCTCCTACTTCTAGAGATTTAAAATTAGTTAAAAAATAACATTAGTTTGTCAGATTAAAGTTATCATATTTATGATATTTTTGAATGCCTCAAATAGGCCTTTACTTTGATTTAATCTCTTTCTAATATTCAACTTTTGGGGTATATTTTATTCTTTGTCGTTAATTTCTTCTACAAACTTCCAATTAAAACAGAAACTTTCACCCATAAATCAACAATTCTAGAAAAATCCTGAAAATGATAGCAAGATTATTTTCCATTTTTGAACCGTCCTCAAGTATCTTTCACTTAATCTAAACTGAATATCAAACATTCTTAGGATTCCTATTCGTTCCAATTCTTTTCTGAACTTCGCCATCCTGATGACTTTATTTGTGATTTAAAATTGTATCCGCCCTTCACAATGAATTTAAGACAATTTTAGGGCCCTCTAATCCAGGTTTATCATTTTTTTTGTTTCTTTAATTTAGCTTCATTTCTTTTTAATAACTCTCTAGGCCTCCCCCTTTATATCTTTACCAGATTCAGACATCTAGCAATAACTCTAACCTTGGCCCTACCTTTATGATTAACCTTTGTTTTGTTTGGATGATTAAACCACACTCAGCACATGTTTGCCCACTTAGTACCCCAAGGGACCCCAAATGTGTTATACCTTTTATATTTCTCATCGAAACAATTAGGAATATTATTCGCCAGGCACATTGGAAACCGTCTTGCAGCAAAATAATTGCAGGTCATCTCCTCCTTACCTTACTTGGAAGGATGGGATCCTCTCTATCCCCTAAATTATTAATTTTTCTTATTTTAGCCCAAATTCTTCTCCTTATATTAGAGTCTGCTGTTGCAATCATTCAATCCTATGTATTTGCATTTTCTCAAACTCTTTATGCCAGTGAAGTAAATTAATGTATCAACACAGACACCATGCCTTTCACTTAGTTGACATAAGACCTTGGCCCTTGACCGGATCAATCAGAGCTATGCTTTTGAATCGGGTCCATCAAATGATTCCATCAATTTAATCCAGATCTCCTCTTTTTTAGATTTATTCCTATTATTTTAACCATAATTCAATGATGACGAGATGTAACTCGAGAGGGAACATATCAGGGTCTTCATACTCAAACCGTCAAAAAAGGGCCCTTTTCGGTGAGGAATAATTTTATTTATCGTCTCTGAAGTACTATTTTTTTTCTCATTTTTTGGGCTTTCTTTCATAGAAGTCTTGCACTACAATTAAAATTTGGGAAAATTGTTTTGACCACCTGAAGGTATCCAACCTTTAAACCCTTTTCCCAAGTTCCCCTACTTAATACAACTATTTTACTTTCATCAGGAGCGACAGTAACTTGAGCGCATCACGCAATCCTTAACTCACATCATTATGAAGCTATACAAAGTCTAGGACTAACTATCCTCCTTGGAGTTTACTTCACTTCCCTTCAAGCATACAATATTTAGAAGCGTCTTTCTCTTCGCAGACTCAATTTAGGGAAACCCCTTCTTCGTAGCAACCGGATTTAAACGGTCTTCACGAATCATCGGGACTTCTTTCCAACAGTTTGTTTTTATCGCCTCTTCAAGTGTCACTTTTCTAATAACCACCACTTTGGGTTTGAGGCTGCAGCTTGATACTGACATTTCGTTGATGTAGTTTGATTATTCCTTTATGTTTTTATTTACTGAGAGGAAGTAATTTTTTAGTATTAATGGTACATCTAGCTTCCCCAAATAGAAAGTCTAATTGTTTAAAAAATTAATTCTAACTATCAACCTGATCGTCTCCTTTCTTACTCTCTCGATTACAACTCTAATTATGACCCTTATCCTCAATTCTATCGAAAAAAACCATTATAGACCGAGAAAAAATATCCCCATTTGAATGTGGATTTGACCCTAAGACTTCAGCTCGACTACCTTTTAGGCTACGGTTTTTCCTCATTGCTGTAATTTTCCTAATTTTTGATTTAGAAATCACATTAATTTTTTCCTCTAGCCCATATCTCCCCCTTCAAGATATTTTTTTCTTGAAATCTACAGGACTATTTTTTCTTTTCCTAATCCTTCTCATAGGGCCCCTATTATGAGTGATATAAAGGTGCCTTAGAGTGATCTAACTGGAAATGTAGTCAATAATGACATATGAGTTGCATTCATAAGTGTTTATAAAACCTTTTTCAAAAATTTGAAAGCGAAAGATTGGTTTAGTTTCGACCTAAATTTTGGTTCCAAACCTCTAGTTTATTTTGACAGAAGCCAAAACCAGAGGCATATTTCTGTTAATGACAAAATTGGATTTTTTTTTCCTGTCAAAGGGAATTAGGCCAGTGAAAAAGCTTCTAACTTATTTCCCGAGCGGTTAAATTCCGTTCATTTCTCTTTTTTAATAGTGTATAAAACATATTACATTTTCAAAGTAAAGCTGAAGATTTTCCTTCTAAAAATATCACCTATAGGTTAATAACCACCCTTTCAGCTTCAATGCAAAATTCTAATTTAAAATATATAAGTAAATTAGATAAAAATAAAAAAAATAACAAAAAATTCAAATTTAAAAAATCCTTTTATAAAAAAACTATTATCATATTCTCCTGTCTTAATTGTAAGTAAACAGAACCTTTTATATCCCCTCAAATCCTCCCTCACCCCCAAAATTTTTCTGACCAACCTTTATCTCCAATCTTAAAAAAAGACCCCCACTCCTTAATCTTCAAGGGACACCCTAAAAATCGACAAAATTGGCATAAACAACATAGACCCTATAACATGACATAGGAATAAAACCCAAAAGTCTTTAACCTAGTTTTTTGACCTTACCATGTTAACCACATAACCCAAAAGAGCTCCTAAACCTCTCACTAATAAAGCTAAAATTTTAAAAGGGAACCCCAAAACAAATCATATAAGATTTCCCGGGAAAAACCCCTCAAGCTAAAAAAAACACCCTCCCGTTACCGCCCCAACCCCTAATATTATTATTCCCCTCAACATTTTTCTATGATTTTCCCTAACAAATATTACAGACCTTATATTAGAAAAACTCCTTATTCTATAATAGATTAATCGAAATGTATAACATACTGTTAAACCAGTACTTAAGACATATAAAAAAAATCTAAAAATATTAATTTCCCTTATAAATGCAACTTCTAAAATTAAATCTTTAGAATAAAATCCAGCCAAGAAGCGTATCCCACATAAAGCTAGGTTAGCTAAATTCATGCAAACCCTAGTCAAAGGTATACATATCACTAACCTGCCCATGTTACGAATATCTTGGTACTCTTTAATCCTATGAATTACCATCCCCGCACACATAAACAGTAAAGCCTTAAATAAAGCATGAGTTAATAAATGAAAAAAAGCTAAATCAGCGAACCCTAAAGATAAAATTCTCATTATCACGCCCAATTGTCTCAAAGTTGATAGAGCAATGATTTTTTTCAAATCAAACTCAAAATTAGCCCCCAAGCCCGCTATAAATATAGTTAAGCAAGAAACAATCAACAAAACTCTTTGTACACACGAACCCCTTAAAGCCCCACTAAAGCGAATCAAAATATAAACACCAGCTGTCACTAGTGTTGAAGAATGAACTAAAGCTGAAACCGGAGTAGGAGCAGCTATAGCTGCTGGAAGTCAAGCCGAGAACGGAATTTGAGCTCTCTTAGTTATAGCAGCAACGCACACTAAAATTTTTAATAACAAAAAATTCCCGCTCAAATATCTTTCATAAAAAATAAAATTTCAACCCCCTAGCATAAAAAGTAAAGAAATACTCAACAAAATCCCAACATCTCCAATCCGATTTGACAAAACTGTTAATATGCCTGCATTCGCTGATTTCCCGTTTTGGTAATAAATTACCAATACATAAGAAATTAGTCCTAACCCGTCCCAACCAAAAAGAATTCTAATTAAATTAGGGCTAATAATCAAAGCTCCTATAGATAGAACAAAACCAAAAACTAAATATATAAATCGCCTGTACCTTTTATCCCCACTCATATAATCTCCTCTATAGTATATTACCATAGAGGAAATAAATAAAACTACCCCCAAAAATAAGAACCTTACTCAATCATAAATCAAAGTTACTACAACAGAAGAAGAGTTTAAAGAAAAAATTTCCCATTCAATTACATAAGAAGACCTCGAACTTAACCTTACTAAACTAAATAAAATAAAACCCAACGCCCTAAATAACAAAAACACTAAACTAACTAAATGACCATAAGCACCCCACATCATAATTTAAAATAACTTTCTTATATCTTCGGCACCACAACCCGATGTTTTACTCTAAACTATTTAAATTGAAAGGTTCTAGTAGTTTAAATAAAAAATTTTGGTCTTGTAAACCAAAGATAAAGCTCATTTTTAGAACTTTATACAAAATCAGTTATAATATTTTATATTTCACTCTCCCTCTTACCTTAAGAATAGCTATCCTGTTCTCAACTCTAACCCACCCTCTCTCCATAGGACTTGCCCTTCTTACACATACCATTATTATCTGTGTACTTTCAGGCCTATTCAGGCCTTCCTTCTGGTTTTCATATATTTTATTTCTAATTTTTTTAGGGGGAATATTAATTTTATTTATCTATGTCTCTTCTCTTGCTTCCAACGAAGCCTTTAAAATTCATTTTAAGTCTAGCCTTCTAATCACCTTATCCCTACCCCTGTCCTTTGCCTTAATCTTTTTAGATCTCTTACTTCTCCCATCAAAATTTTTCAGATCTAGATTATTCTTAATTTTAGAGAATAAAACAAATTTAACCACCCTATCAACCAGCTCCATCTACTCCCTCACTTCTTTCCCTCTTACTACCCAAGTAATTTTATATCTGTTACTTACCTTAATTGTTATTGTTGATATTATTAATATCTCATCAAGACCTCTGCGGCCTTCAAGATTCTAACAGAAAATAGTTTACTTTAAAATATTAATTTTGGAGATTAAAGAAAAAGTATTTACTTTTTTTCTGACTTTTATTAAAACTATTTCAATTATTTAATCCTTTCGTACTAAAATAACTTTGAACTCCTTAGAAGATAGAAACCAACCTGGCTTTCGCCGGTCTGAACTCAAATCATGTAAAAATTTAAAGGTCGAACAGACCTTCTTCTGTAACTGCTACACCACAAAGAAATTTTTAATTCAACATCGAGGTCGCAAACTCTTTTGTCGATAAGAACTCTTAAAAAAAATTACGCTGTTATCCCTAAAGTAATTTATTCTCTAATCCTAAAAAGGGATCATATGAACAAGTATCTCTGATTTAAACAAAAAACAGTTATATAATTTATATCTCAGTCGCCCCAACTAAACACCCTGCTAATAATAAACTTTAACACTCCAAATCACTCTTAACCAGCTTCATGTATAAACTTTATAGGGTCTTATCGTCCCTCTAACTCATTTAAGCCTTTTCACTTAAAAGTTAAATTCAATCTCCGAGATAGAGACAGCTTTCTTCTCGTCCAACCATTCATTCCAGCCTTCAATTAAAAGACTAATGATTATGCTACCTTCGCACGGTCAAAATACCGCTGCCTTTTAGTCCCCAATGGGCAGGCCAGACTTTATATAACTCTCATACAGACATGTTTTTGATAAACAGGCGGAAGACCCCTTTTGCCGAATTCCTTATACTTATCACTCCTTCAACAAATCTCATTAATTTTCCAAAATTTATTTAAAATAAACAACCCATATACTAATACATTCACTTTAAATCTTTAAACTAAATTCATAAAAAGTCTTTCCTACCTACTTAAAAAATAATAAATACTCTTCTTTTTGTGCCTCAGATACAACTCCCTGTAAACATAGCTACCTCTATTGGAAAATCAGTATTAATTTGATATTTCATATACTTTGTCAAAAACATTTAAAAATTAAAAAAAATTGGAAAAATTTTTTTATATTTATTTTTTTCATGGCCTAAATTTATTTATTGCATATTTCGACGATTTAGAGCGTTCTGAATGTTTTACGACATTGCACAAAATTTTTAATCTATAATTCATAGATTTTAACGCTTATAATCGAATTTAATGCTTGCATTCATTTTTATCCTAAAAGTAAGCAAAATTTATGCCACTTTTGTGAACCACATGTAAATAACAGATTTTAATTCAAAAAATTGAAATTTATAAGATATGGTTCAAAAAGATTTGATCGTTGAAATATGCAGATTAATATGATTTTTCAATTGATTTTCAACATTATCATATGTTTTTTGCACATTTTTAAAAAATTCCCAATAGAAAACCATAAAAAGTCAATATTTATTTTGAATGTTTCATACATTTTTTAAAAAATAAAATTTGAAATCTTAAAAAACATTAGAGAAATGTGCTTAATAATTTATTTTGTTGCTATTTCCGTCGGTTTAGGGCGTTTCAATGTTTTATGACGAAACCACATTTTTTTTGGTAAAATTCATAACTTCTCACCACTTTTAAATCAGATTACCGTTGGAATTGAATTTTATGGCTCCTTAAATAGCAATATTTATCAGTTTTTTTGAAGTTCTCTCTCAAAAAAAAAAAAATTAACTAAATCAATTGAAGTTTTTCCAAAAGATTGCTTTGAAAAGCTTGTATGATTGATCGATAATTTTATAACTTTTGTATATATTTAACTACTTTTAAAAAATACCAAATAAAAATTCGTTAAAAATCAGCATTAATATTGGAGTATTACATTTTATTTTAAAAAAAATCTTGAAATTTACAAAACAATTAAAACAAAGGGGCTGAAATATATTTTTTTTGCCATATTTCGACGATTTTGAGCGTTTCGAATGCTTTTTGGTGAAGCTTTTTTTATTTCATTCATAGATTTTCAAGGGGTTAAATCAGAATCTACTGCTTCATGTGAATTTTATGCTAAAATTAAGCCAAATTTATGATCAAGCTCCAGATCTAGATCGGCACTCTCAGGTAAGTACCACGAGGGCGAGGGCGTAAGAATAGACGGGGGAGGTTCATTCATTCATTCATTAAAGATTTGCCGGTCTTCCGGCCCGGGTCTTCTCAGATGTGACCCGCGGGTGGCCCCCGGGGGGGGGTGTCGATCGTCTTCTTCATTCTTTTCTTCTCTTTGGGCCCTCCGGTTGGACGGTAAACTTATTCTTCTATCTTGCACTGACTCCCATGTGGGGAGTGTCTTCTTTCTTTCTCGTCGGCAGGCTTGCAAGGTCAATGGTCTTCAGCCTTGTAGCCCCGTAAAATGTTGTTAGTGGGGAATGGTTCTAGGTGATTAAGACTTTTACCTTGAAAGCGGTACAGGCTACATTGGATTTTTTTTTTTTTTTTTTTTTTTTTTTTTTTTTTTTATGCGGGGGGGGAGAGGAGGTAGGGGAGTGAAAGAAGGGGACAAGTAGAGAGGTGATAGATGGAGGTAGTGGCGACTCGTTGTTGTATGTGGGGCGTCATCGTGGTGGTGGGTGGGCAGCCAAGGATGGGGATGGAGAGTTCCCCAGGTTCTTGGGTGGCGAGAGTACACCGGCCGGGCCTGCGGTGTCTTCTCGGTTCGGGTCCCCAGGCGCCATGGAAGGTGCCTTCGTCAGAGTGGCACGTCGGCGGACAGTCTAGGAGTAGTGCACTATTGGACCTGGGAACCATCTGGTTGCATGGCAGAGCGGCTCCTCTGACGCGGTCAATGAGTCTTCTGGCAGTAGGGTAGCCAAGTCACGCAGCCGGTGGACCCCCAACTGCAACTTCCTGTCTAGCCTCGCATGCTCGGCGGTGTGCTCCCCACGGGTCGCCCTGTCATACCAGATCCGGCTCCGCGATGGCCAGGCCCTGGTAGCGGGCGCCTGGCTGCATCAGCTGCCCACAGATCCACTGCCTTCGGCTGATAGCTATGGTGGTCACTGGCTGGGCCTCAAGGGTCGCGACTTCGCCGCTCGATCTGCGCATCATTCCCAGCGGGTCGATGTGCTGGTATCCATTGATTGTTGCTTGCGTCCCTGCTCCGTAAGTGTCTGAAGGTCCTTCTGATGGCAGTATATTAGCCGGATGTTTGTCCCTGGGCTCCCTGTGCATGACGGCCTGGATCGCGCTCTGGGGTCCACATGAATGGACTGGGGGTCGCGGATTGATCCAGGAGTGCGTGTTGCAGGGCCCTCTGGATGGCATGGAGTTCTCGCCTGGAGATTGTGGCAGTGATCTTGGAGACGCCAAATCCAGCCGTCAGAGTGGCATGGAGGGACCCCGGCACCTGTGCGGCCTGCCTCTGGATCCCGGGAGCCATCGGTGTAAATATACGGCGCACCCAGGGTGCCTCCGTGCTGCATTCTCACTGCAAGCCCATTGCTGCAGCACGTGTTGTGGACAGTGACGCTTGCTAACTGGGGGGTCGTGGGATGTGGATCACAACTGCTTCTGGTGCCCGGGCAGGAGTAAGTGTACCGGCCACAGGCTGGTCACAGCCCTTGTCGACTATAAGCGCCTTGGGGATGGAGTTTTGCTTGCTAATAGCCGCTGACCACACCCACAGCCGTCCAGGAGACTCCCTGAGGTCTCCCTGTTGCCGTTCAAGGAGGTGTTTGCAGCAGTCCCTCTCCACCGGGGGGAGTTGTACGTTAATTGGCCACCCTCCTGGCTGCCACAAGCGTCGATTCTGTCGGCGTAGCGGCTTGACAATTGCGCCTCTTGATTCAGGGCACAGTGTTCGTCACCTCGGCGCCCCCCAACATGACCGAGCTGCTGTATTTTGGGACGGATGTTGTGTCTTCGAAGGAGCGTTGGGGGCATGGACAAGGGTAAGTGCCCCATAGTCGATGAGACGAGCGCCCGCCTGCACATAGAAATAATCGGAGAATGTTCACGCTGGCCCCCTGAACCTAGGTGTGCGAGGGCCGCATGGACGGTGACCGTGCATGGTCTGCTCGCTCCCTGACGTACTCCGCCTGAATTCCGAAAGGAGGCCGGATTGTCGATGTGCATCTCCCAGGTACAGGTAGCTACTGACCCCAATCGGTGATTGACTCTGACATCTGCAGTTCACCCTCCGGACATTGGCATGAGGATCATGGCTTGGATTTTTCTGCTGAGACCTTGAGGCCGGAGACGACGGGCAGGGGTGGCGATGGAGGTTAAGGTCAGCTTGGGCTCTATGCATCAAACCAATCTCTCGGATGTTGATGAGGGGCCAAGATCATACAGCGTAGCTGAGAAGCTTGGGTGCCTAAAGAGATGGCAGCTTGCACCAGCTCATGCATCAGGACATTGAAGAGAGTGGGGCTGAGGACCACTCCCTGCGGGGTGCCGTTTTCAAAGGGGCTGAGGGTGGACACTTGTCCCTGGTAAACGCACTAGTGCCACACCTGCCTGCAGGTTATGGAAGAGAGCCAGGCAAGGAGCCTTCCCTTCAGCCCTGCCGCTAGGAGGTCAAGGATGGCGGTGCGCTGGCAAGATCAACGGCTTTCTCGAGGTCCAGAAGACATAAGTTTGGGTCTCTTGTTTGACCCAATGCCTGCAACCCGAGGGTGGTGTTGCTCTATGCTGTGCCCACTCCTCGTGTGAAGGCCGTATATGTGACGGTGTTCCGGGGCCAAGCTGCCACGTAGTCGCTCAAGGATTCATCCTCTCAGCGTCTTGGACAGGACCAGCTGGTGAGAGAAGATGGGCCTCTGCTTCCGGGTCCCTGGGCTTGGGGATGGGCAGGAGGATGGCATTCCTTCCACGCAGTGGGGGTTGTCAAGCCCTCCAGGAGCAGTTGATGACCTCCAAGAGTGCAATCATGTCCAGAGGGGCCCGCCTGGCGATCATACTGTAAGGTGATGACATCTGGCCGGGGGTGGTGTGTGTGATGTCCTGAGGGCTGCCTTCAGCTCCTGGTCGCTGAAGTCTACAATCGGTGTCGTCGTGTTCGCAGCCTTGCAGCCTGTGCCGGGCAGCCTGTCTGGGTGGACAGCCTGGAGGTTCTGCACATCGTGTGGGCAGGGTGTGTTTGCGGCCCTTGGAAGTGAAGAGGTGACCAGCCTCTATGCTTCACCCAAGCCGGGTCATGGTGAGCACGCGCTGTTCCTCTGCCGTTTTCGGTAGATATACCTATTTTCGCCAGATCTCAGACAGGGTAGTGGCATGGCCGAAGGAGTCAAACCATCGAACCACTTGCAGGCGGGACTCTGTGCGGAGATGTGGCGAGCGTGCCGCACCACCTCTTCAGCAGCCGAAGGGTGGTCAGCAGTTAGGGTTGCGTCCTGTGGATGCCTGCGGGCCACAGTTGACACGGTGGTTCTGCTCCTTTACTGTTCGTCGTAGAAACCCAGTCCGCTTGTTGGTACCTCCAGCCTTGGTAAGTGGGATGGCCACTCAGCCGCAGGGTGACGGCAGCATGGAGGTTCTGGGAAGCCGCATCAGGATTTGTCAGAGAGGGTGGTCGTATCCCACCATTGCTGTATGACATCTGGAAGCACTGCCAGTCCGCCTTTATGGAAAATTCCACCGGTGGAGGCGGTGTGTTTGGGATGTTGCTGGGTGGCGCCAGCGTGGTGACGGATCGCGAAGTGGTC